CAGTGCTCAAATGGACCATCCGAGCCAGTTTCAGTGCAACGAACCGGGTCTGCCCCGAGAGGCATGGCCCACGTTTGTGGCACATCACGAGGCCCACGGCTTCATCTGGAGCAAGGGTCTGCCAGGGCCGGGAATGGTCTACGACCAGGTGCTGGGCAAGTGGGAGGAGCCCTCAGCCAAGGAGCGGGAAATGGCGATGGGATTCATTCCAGGAGCGACAGCCGCGCCGGGAGTGGGGAAAGCTCAGAGGCGGGAGGCGCTCGGGAGAGCCATTGATGCTGAGTCCATGCACCGGCTGGTGCACGTCATACAGAAGCACCTGGTCGCCAAGCAACTGGAAATGGAGGCCGAGGTGGGGGGCCCAGGAGACGACACCGAGGACCAGGTGGCGGCAAGTCAGCAGAGGGCGGAGCAAAACCTGCTGGAGATGCGGGTGGAGAGACAACAGCAGCACGAGCGGGGCTGGGCGCTGATGGCAAAGGAGGTGAGCGCGGACGGAGGGTCGGCAGAGGCAGAGAGCTGGATTGAGTTGCCCGCCGCGGAGACAGAGAACAGCATGAGCCAGCAGGAGGCGCGTGAGCCACGGGAGCCACCGGTGGAGGAAGAGCAGGGAGAGGGGCCGAGACAGGAGCTGCAGCAGACGGCTGTGCCAGCAAGGCAGGAAGAAGGAGTGGAGGTGCATTGGGAAATCGGCGAGGGGATGCAAGGAGAACTGAGGCAGCAGGTGTGGGAAGTCCTGAAGGACAACCGAAAGGCGTTCGCGTTCACTCTGCTAGAACTCGGCAAGTACACGGGGAGGGAGCTGGAGATAAAGCTGACAGAGGAAATTCCAGTGTACCAGCGCATACGGAGGATGAGTCCCGGGGACTTGGAGATCTGTCAAGAGAAGTGTCGGGAACTGCTGGAAGCAGGCCACATTTGGCCCTCGAAGTCGGAGTATGCAGCCGCCACGGTGGTGGCTGCGAGGAAGGAACTCACAGGAGGGATCATGCCGCGACGCATGTGCGGGGACTACCGCGACCTGAACAAGCTGGCACTACCGGACCGGTACCCCATGCCAACACCGGAGGAGATATTTGACAAACTCCAGGGGGCTAGTGTGTTCAGCACCCTGGACCTCCGCCAAGGGTTTAACCAGATCAGGATAGCGGCGGCTGACGTGCGCAAGAGAGCCTTCCATGTGCCAGACGCGCTCTACGAGTGGCTGTTCACGCCATTTGGGTTGAAGAATGCCTCTGCGGTTTTTCAGCGGGCTATGGACCAGGTCCTGTGAGGCCTACAATACTGCGTGGCATGCTACATCGACGACGTAGTGGTGTTCAGTGCATCTGCATATGGTGGACGTGAGGCAGGTGCTGGAGGCCATACGAGCGGCCGGGCTCACCTGTCACCCCAAGAAGTGCAGATTCAATACTGATGGTGCAATACTTGGGGTTTGAGGTACGTGGGGGGCAGATGACGATCCAACAGGCGAAAGTGGCAATACTGGACAAGCTAGCTGTGCCTAAGAACCGCACGACGCTGCGAGCAGTCCTGGGATTCCTGAACTATTACAGGAAATTCGTGCCCAGCTTCAGAAAAAGGGCCGCCTGCCTGAATCAGCTGCTGAGGGAGGACGTGGCGTGGAAGTGGGGAGAGACTGAGCAGGGGGCACTACAGGAGCTGCGGGACGCGGTGAAGATAGGGCCGGTGCTGCAGCTGCCGAAACCGGAAGGAAGATTCACCCTCTACACCGACTGGAGCAGCACGGGCATGGGAGCGGTGCTCTGTCAGCAGATGTGGTGGCCTTCGCCAGCCGTATTTGCAATGCCGCGGAAGCAAACTACAGCTCATACGAAGGGGAAGGGCTGGCTTTTGTATGGTCAGTCACACACTTTCGAGTGTACCTGCAGGGGCGCGAAATTACCTTGGTCACCGATCACCAGCCGCTCCTCTGGCTCATGACAAATCACACTCTGACAGGAAGGAACGCGCGATGGGCCATGCGGCTGCAGGAATTTGACTTCATCGTCAAGCATCGCCCAGGGCGCACTCTACAGCACGTGGATAGGCTGTCTCGCAATTTCCCACCAGAAGCACCAGTGGCGTGCCTGGTGGCACTGGCACAAGAAGTGGAGAGGCAAGCGGGGAGGCAGCAGGAGGCGTGGGGAACACAAGACGTATGGGCAGATCCAGAGACGCTGCGGTGGCTCAGGGGAGAGACAGAGGCGGAGGAGCAGTTGACAGAGCGAGCACGAGCACGAGGGCAGCACCACCGATGGTACGCGGGGCAGGTGCAGCTGAGGACGCGGGAGGGTTGGAAGCTGGTCCCAGCCCCAGCGGAGAGGGAAAGCATCATCAGCAGGGTTCACCGACAGCTGGGGCATTTTGGGCATGTCCGAACCACACAGCTAGTCAACACGGGCTGGTGGTGGGCGGGGATGGCAAGGCAGATCCGTGAGTACGTGGCACAGTGCGAGGCATGTGACAAGAAGAGGGCACACCGGAGCGAGGCCAGCAGCAGCTGCAGTCCCTGCCCATCAGAGGGCTAGGCTACAGATGGTCGCTTGATATGGCAGGAGAACAGCCCATCGCACGCCGGGGGAAGAAGTACATCCTCGTGATGATCGAGCATGTGAGCAAGAGGGTGGAGGTTGCACGTGTTGAGCAGAAAGAGCGCTGCCTTGATGACCGAGGCCTTCACGGAGCAGGTGCTCACCAGGATGGGGGCATGAGGAGAGGTCCTCACTGACCAAGGCGCGGAGTTCAGGGGAGAATTTGACACGGCCCTGGCGGCAATAGGGATCACCCACAGGAGAACCTCTCGCTATCACCCTCAGGCGGATGGACTCACCGAGCGCATGGTGCAGACGCTCAAGCGAGGCTTGCAAGCATACGGAGAAGCACACCAGCGCACCTGGGATATGGACCTAAATTGGGTGGCGGCAGGCTACCGCTTCAGCAAGCAAGCCGCCTTGCGCGACGTCTCTTCATACTACCTCTTGTATGGGCGAGACCCCATTCTGCCAGTGGGGGCACCCAGGGTGCTGACGGAGGTAGTGACAGGAAGAGCACCAGAACTGTGGGCAGCGTTGGCCAAGGTCAGAGGAGATTACCTCCGCTCCCTCCTACCCTCGCCCCTGGAGAATCTGCACGTCGCCCAACCGCGGGATACTCAGCGGTACCAGCAGAGGCTGGGAGGCGTCTAGGCACCAAGGGGGGCTCAGCCTCAGGAAGGCCAGGAGGTGTATCGTCGCACGGCGCAGCAGAATGTGCTGGATCGAGGACTCAGCGAGGAGCGCTGGAGGGTGGTGGAAGCTTGAGACTTCGGCGTGGTGGTGCTGGAGAACCAGCAAGGCAGGCGAGTGAGGGACCACGTCACGAACACAGCAAGGACGCACACCAGGAGTGCGGGACGTCTGGAGCAGAGTGTGCAGGAGCCTTAGTCTGCTCCAGAGGGGGCAAGTGGGTGTTCGTTCTCGGACAACAGACAGTGAAGCCATTCATAGCATGAAAGAGCGGAATGGGCAGCAGCAATGGAGGTAAAGCGAAGCAAGACATGAGGTGCATAGAAGCCTGTAAGAGGGGGGTGAGAGATCCTGCATCAAGTAACAAGCTGCAGTGGGGGGGGAGAAGAGGGGAAGCAGAGAGTTTTCGACAGCTGTCGCGGAAGTGGACTGACCATTGAGGGCAGAGCACTGGCCGAGACAGCAAAGGTTCATGATCGTAAGTAGAATACAGTTTGGGGTGCGGTGTAGGTCACAGCGGATCAGTTCCAAACAAGGGAGAGTGTGGGATGGTAACGCGGAGGAATGAGCAGCGGTACCAGGGCTGCACTGAACATAAATGTACTGTACGGATGGACGACTGGGGGTGTGCTTGAGTATGCTGGGAAGGGCGTATGGTGTGCGTGTTTCTTTCGTGTGCATGGAATGTCCCCGTTTGGCAGGGCGAGGGCTGCTAACGCGTACAAGAGCAGCAAACTCACCAGCTGGCAGAGGGTGCAAGAGGGAATGCAGGCCTAGCTGACAGTTGGCCCAGGACACCAGCGGGAGCTCATGTAGCCGGAAGCCGCTGGAGGCTTGTAAAAAAGCTCGGTGACCCCGAGCCTCACCTAGATGTGATGCTTGCTTGTCGTTTTTTCTGAGGCACCTCTGCTAGGGTATCGACTCATCTTATACATAGGTTCGAGCAGCTCTAGTGTTAGGTGCTTCGTCGTATGTTTTCTGCTTGCTTCAATGTAATCCTGTTAACCCAAACAAAGGCAGCATAGCTAGGCGGAAGCCATCAGTCAGCAGTATGTGGGTGTTCCTTCTCGGACAACAGACAGTGAAGCCTGTCATAGCAGGAAAGAGCAGAATGGGCAGCACCAATGAAGGTAAAGCGAAGCAAGACATGAGGTCCATAGAAGCCTGTAAGAGGGGGGTGAGAGATACTGCATCAAGTAACAAGCTGCAGTGGGGAGGGAGAAGAGAGGAAGCAGAGAGTTTTCCGACAATGCATTCAGCACGTATCTCTATGCGGACAATGATGATAACATGAACATGATGGCATGGCACCACATCAAGCTCCTGAAGGCACGATATCCGCAACAAATGATGGAGGGTGCGGCGGAGCGAGGAGCTGAGTGGTTGTGCAGGGGAGTGGAAGAGATCGATGAGCAGCTAATTGCGCATTGGGGGAAGATATATATAGTGATCGCTGGATAAGAGTGCCAAGGGTACTCACGCGCTGGTCGGGGACGAGGGATGGAAGACGAGCAGAGTGGACAGTTTCGGGAGTTGGTACGAGTGCTGAAACTGATCAAAAGAAGGCAAGGAGAACTGATGTACATCATCAAAAACGTCGATAGGGTGGATGACCCCAGACCAGCGATGCAAGAGGCAAATGAGGAGATAACCGCGGAGCTGGGGGCAGGGGTTGTATGGGACGCGGCCCAGAATGGAAGTAGGGCACATCGACCAAGGCGTTACTGGCAGAACGTGATCCCCTAAGCGGCACTACGATACCAACTATCTCGCATGGAGCGTCCAAGGGCCAGGCTAGTGGCAGACATTCTGGATCCAGGAAGGAGGGCAGCGCTGGCAAGACAGCCGGATCATCCCACGCAGTACACGTGCAACGAAGTGGGAGAGCCAAGGCAGGCGTGGCCCACACTGGTGTCCTACAAGCAGGCCAGGGGCTTGCGAGGAGTGGCTGGATCGGGCATGGTGTTCGACCAAGCAAGAGGGGAGTGGGAAGAAACGACGGGGCAGGAGAGAGAATTAGCCATGGGATTCTTGGCACGAGCAACGGCATGCCCGCAGATGACCGAGAAGGAGCGCAGAGGAGCCGTGGGCAGAGAAATGGATCTCAATGCCTTACACTGGTTGATCACCTCCATGAGCAACCACCTGGAAAGGAAGTGGCTGGAGCGGAGGATCGGTCAGGCGACACAAATACGGCCCCGGACCGAGCTGGCGGCGAACAAGGAGATAGAGGCATGGACAATGCTGGACGGATTGGAGGCGAAGGGAGAGAATCAGTGGTGGAGGGGCATACCCGAGGAGCAGCGGCACACCAGCTGGAGAGACGAAAGGTTCGGAGTGCCAGGCAGATATGCTGACACGGCGGAGAGTGAGGAAGAGGAGGAGGAAGAAGAGGAGGAGGTGGAGGAGGAGGAAAGTGGAGGACTTGGAGGAGGGGTGACGCCGGAGGAATTCCATGACTCGGACTTTGACATGGAAGGAGTCATGGACTTCTTTGACCCGCATGACTGGCCGCCCATTGGACCAGTGTCCATGGCGCTCGAGGTTAGCCAACCAAGGGGGCCCCTAAGCGTGGGAGAAGGAGAAGAAATTCAGCGGAGCGAGGCGGGAGGAACTCCGGAGCAGGAAGTGGGAGGGGAAGGAAGGCCAGTTGCAGAGCTAGAACCGGCATGGGACATTGGAGAAGGCCTGATGGGAAGCCAGCGGGAAGAGGTGAAGAGCCTGTTGGCGGGACATCGAGGGACCTTCGCGTATACTCTGAAGGAACTGGGGTGTTGCAACCGCGCCACCATGTCCCTCACCCTGACTACCACCATACCGGTCTACCAGCGGCGACGGCGCATGAGCCAGCAAGACTTGGAGGTGTGCAAGGAGAAGTGCTTGGAGCTGCTGGAAGCGGGTCTGGTACGGCGTTCAGAATCGAGCTACGCGGCGGCAACAGTGGTGGCAGACAGAATGTACCTGACAGGGACGGTGCTATCCGGGAGGATGTGCGGTGATTACCGGGACTCGAACAAAGTGACTGTGCCAGAGCATTACTCCACGCCGATGGTCGACAAAATCTTCGACCAGTTGGCAGCGGCAAGACTGTTCTTGACGTTGGACATGCGCCAGAGCTTCAACCATAAGGGTAAGTAACACACACTAAGTACTAACCATAAGGGAAAAAAAAGCACTTACCCTTAGTACCAACCATAAGGGTAAGTAACGCACTTACACTTAGTACCAACCATAAGGGTAAGTAACGCACTTACACTTCGTACCAACCATAAGGGAAAGTAAAGCACTTACCCTTAGAACCAACCATAAGGGTAAGTAACGCACTTACACTTAGTACCAATCATAAGGGTAAATAAAGTGCTTATACGTAGTACCAACTAATAGGGTAAGTAACTTATTAATTTATAGTACCAACTATAGGGACCGCATGTACTCTTAGTATTAATTATAAGGGTAAGTAACGCACGTACACTTAGTACCAACCATAAAGGTAAGTAACGCACTTACTCTTAGTACCAACCATGAGGATATGTAACGCACTTACACTTAGTACCTACTCTAAAGGTTGGTAGTACACTTACATTTAGTACCAACCATAAGGGTAAGTAACGCACGCACCTTAGTGCCAACCATAAGGGTAAATAACGCACTTATACTTAGCACCAACCATAAGAGTAGGTCATGCACTTACACTTAATACCAACTTTATGGGTAAGTACCGCACTTACACTTAGTACCAACCATAAGTGTAGGTAAGGCACTTACATTTAGTACCAACTATAAGGGTAAGTAACGCATGGACAATTGGTACGAACTATAAGGTTAAATAAAGCACTTACATATAGTACCAACTATAAGGGGAAATAATGCACGTACACTTAGTACGAAATATATATGTAAGTAACGTACTTATACTTAGTACCAACTATAATGGTAACTATACTTACATTTAGTACCAACTAAGTGTAGGTAACGCACGTACATTAGTACCAACCATAAAAGTAAGTAACGAGCTTACACTTAGTACCAATTTGAAGGGTAAGTATCGTACATACTCTTGGTATTGACCATATATGTGTAAGTAATACACCTACACTAAGTACCAACCATAAAGATGAGTAACGCACTTACACTTTAGTACCAACTATAAGGGTAAGTAACGCATACACCTTAGTACCAACTATAAGGATAAGTAACGGACTTACACTTAGTATCAACTAAAAGGGTAAGTAATACACTTACACTTAGTACCAACCATAAGGGTAAGTAACACTCCTATACTTAGTACCAACCATAAAGGTATTGACGCACTTACTCTTAGTACCAACCATAAGGGAATCTTTGCGAAAATTTGGACTGGCCTTGCTGCTTTCTTTGTCTCAGTTTTTGCATTAACTGTGCCGCCCTGAGTTTGCTTGTTGTTGTTGCTGAGAGACGACCCTTTGTCTAGCCTAGGGGTGTGTCAAACTATATGTTTACATATAGGCTAGTCAAGGGTTAGGCTTTATGGGGTATAACACTTGTACTTTGTGTACCCTCGACTTTCCTTAGTCAACCTTTTCATCTCTATATACCTATCAATGAGACTATCTTCGGCTATTCGAAGCGGCAGCAATCACTACTCCTCAAGGTGCTCTGCAAAGGCCGACGCCTATAGGCAATGGTGGATAGCGGAGCCTCCCACTTGGTGTGCGATTGTGGGACATTGGAGAAAATTGGGGAGTTTTGGAGGAGACCCAGTTCACGGCAATGATGGTGGGCGGCAGCACTCTACTCATTCACAGCGAATCTACTCTACAGTTGTAGATAGGGGCGCTGAGGTGGAGGCCAACGCTGCCGGTCATGAACATCAAGGACCTGGATTTCATCTTGGGGCGATATTTTCTGAAGCGGTTCAACCCCGAGATTGATTGGGTCAACCAGAAGGCGTGTATCTACAACAATGGGAAACCCGTGGAACTTCGAAACAGGATGGATACAGGGGATATTTTAGAGGGAACGCTCGTACAGTCTAAGAAAATGGTGAACCAGAGTAACGAGGGTTACCTGGCATTGGTGATGACAGGGGAAGAGGAAAAACCGAACTCGGAGCTACCTACAGCAGTACAGAAGGTTCTAGAGGAGCACAAGGACATCATGCCGAACGACCTACCTGCATGAGTGCCTCCGGAGCGAACTCACCACCACAAGATCTTGGAGGAACCAGGCTCGAAGCCAACCTTTTGTGCACTGTACCGCCTCGGCCCAGCAGAACGTGCAGACATGAAGAAGCAAATTGAGTACCTTCTGGACCGTAAACTGATCCGACCATCCACGTCACCCTGCGACGCATCGGTTCTCTTCACTCCAAAGCCGGATGGTAGTTTACGGATGTGCATACTGGTGAGTGCCGAGGGCGTACACATGGACCCGCGGAAAATTGAAGCCGCAAGAAGTGGAAGGTTCTCGAGAACGTCGAAGTGTTGCAACACTTCCTAGGCTTCGCCAATTACTACAACAGGTTCGTGCTACAGTACACTAAGATAGCACCTCCACTGACAAACTTATTGAAAAAGGGTACGCCCTATAAATGAGATACTTCTGAACAGCAAGCCATGGAGCAACTACAGACAGCTCTAACAACTGCCCTGGTACTGATCCTGCCATATCCAAACAAAGACTCTGCAGTGGAAGCAGACGCTAGTGACCAGGCAGTCGGAGAAATATTGATGCAGGATCACGGACGCGGTTTGCAACCCATCGCTTACTTAGGTAAGAAACTACACGGAGCTGAACTAAACTATCTGATCCACGATAAGGAAGCCCTAGCAGTCGTTACTTCAAGGCATGGAGGTGTTACTTAGAGGGTGCTAAAATTACAGCCTATGTAGAAGGGATCCAGCTCGACGGGATGAACCCCCTACTCAAGGGCTTGTTCCAACATTGGTACTTCGTGGATGCAGAAATCACAACAGTAGAGAATCAGAAACTGTTGCAGTAGGAGAAGGACCTAATAGTGCGGAAGGGTTTCGGGAAATTTGGGTTCCGAAATACGCCCCACTTTGACAAATTCTCTTGGAGGAGTTCCACGACGTAGTTTATGCGGGACACTTCGGATGTAACAAAACCCTTGCCCGCATCAGTACTGCTGCGAGCCTCAGAAGGCAACGCACGTGCAGCAGTTCGTCACCTCGTGCGACATGTGCCAGCGGATGAAGAAAAAGGCAGGGAGATTCCAGCCTCTACTCGTACCGGAGCAGCCATGGGAAGTTGGCAGTCTATACTTTATTACTAGACTACCATCGGCCATACTCGTCGTGATAAAATGGGGCATTTCATCCTTACCAACACCACAGCCACAGATAAAATAACTGCTCGCCTCTTCTTCGACCACATCGTCACAAACCACGGCATTCTGGCTACACGCATCCAAGACAGAGACCCGAAAGTTACCAGTAAGGCTTGGAGGGAACTCATGGGGCTTTTGGGGACAAAGCTTGCGATGTCTTCAGCATACCACCCCCAGGCAGACGGACAGACAGAACGATTAAATAATGTGGTTGAACATACTGTGTACTGCATAGAAAGACGATATTAGCTACTTGAATTTACAGTTGCCGACTCTTGAGTTCGCTAAAAGCAACGCTTCACACGCGGCCACAGACAAAACTCCTTTCTTCCTGTGATACGGACGTGAACCAATCATGCCATAGCAACCAACTACACCGGCACACGTCCAAGCCGCCCGTGAATTCATCGCCACAGTGCAGCAGCTATGGGAGACAACTCAGCGATGTCTCACCACGATGCAGAACCCATAGGAGCAGTATGCTAACATTCCGTTTGCTCAAGGAGTGCAACTCGTATCGCGCAGAGCTGCTATATGCAGCAACCGCAAGGAGTGCAACTCGTATCGCGCAGAGCTGCTATATGCAGCAACACCAGAAGAGTGGTCATCTTCGGGGTGGGAGCGAAGGTCTGGAAGAAGTCTACCCCCTCGCGATGACTGAAGCCTCTCGCCACATAGCGCGCCTTGAACACCGGTGGTGATCCAGGCGGCCGCTTCACCTTGTAGAGCCTCATGCCACTGACCAGGTGGTGGGACGGCGTCGAAGTAGGTGCCTGTGGACCTATAAGATGCCATCTCTGCCTCCTCTGCTGCTATCCAGAACGAAGCCCAGGGTCCCGAGACCGTCTCGGCGTGAGTGCGAGGGATCGGATGTCAAGGGCGTCTGGATCCCCCTCAGGGCCAAGCAGCGTGGCGCAGAGATGAGGAACAGCGGCCGCAAGGAAACCAAGCTCGAACTGTCTGTCCTCGAGGACCTCCAGGGGCAAGACAAGAGCACCCCCAGAGGACGGAGAACGAGCAGGGCCACTCACCAGGTGAGTGGCGTTGCCAAGGCGGTGGGAAGAGGCAAAGCCAGCGACAGTGGTAACAAGAGCCGAGAGAGACAACGGGGGGGGCAGTCGGGTGAGTGACCAACGCGGACAAAACACGGGGGATGACAGGACGGGAGGCACGGAGGTCTCAGTTACACAAGGCTTGGGTGCTACTGCTTGTGGGGGTCGTGTGTGCGGTGCTGTTGGGTGTGAAAAGGTTGAGGGTGGTGGGGTGAAGCTGAAGAACTGTTCTGCATGTGGCAATGTGGCTTATTGCAGCAGAGAGTGCCAAAAGACACACTGGCCCTCCCACAAGGTCTCATGCCCCGACAGGAGCAACGGCAAGAAGAGTGTCACGAACAGTGGCAAGGTGAGTATCATTGTGAGTGGCATTATGAGTGGCACTATGAGTGGTACAGTGAGTGGAAAAAACTCTGGTAAGTTGAGTGGCAGGTGGGGGGTGAAGGCAACATAAGGAGTGGTATGAGGAGTTGAAGGTGAAGGTGACAGGCAGGAGGGTGGTGAGAGTGCGATTTACAGATAGACCAGGAATTCCATTTTCTTATACAGAGTCGTATTTGCAGGTGTGACAAGAGCGAATCAGGACAGTGATTCCATGTGATTGGTGACGCCACTTAAGGTGCTTGCTGATAGCATGGGTGGTTTGCAACTGAGGACAATGTGGAGGGGTAGAACGTGTTATCAGTGTAACTGCTGTGGAACACGTTCTGTTGTTGAAGTACTGGAGCATGTCCTGCATTTCCTGCATCGGAATCAGC